GTGCTCACCAGTCTGGATGCCCCATCTCCAGCAGCTGGCGGCACTGCTGTGACAGCAGGCCGATGGTCTCGGCGTAGTCCTCGATGGTCTGCTCCAGGATCAGGTGCTTCTTCAGCAGCTGCAGGGTGCTCGGCTCGTCCTGGGGCCACACAGGGGAGACACGCTTTAATTAACCCGGGAAATCGTAGGGGTTCAAAGTTTGCAGCTCACAATTTATGTTCTCACACTATACGACCCAATATGAGATCTGACCTCACAGCGTACGTCCAAAAACGCACGTTGGACTTGAAATAAGACGAAGACGAAGTTGAACAACATGGAAGGAACATGAGGGTCACCAGAGCTAAAAGCTGCTTCGGCAATTTGCGCGATTGTGTGTGCCGAAAGCTTTAAAATGAACGGAAGACGGCGTATTTGGACCATTTGGAGGAAATGTCTGTGCAGACGGGGCCAATACGGCCGGCCGGCTTTATAGCCTGAACGGAGGCAGCAACAACTTTCACATAACTTCCTGATACCCCTGACCACTCAGAGGGTCGTAGACACTCCTAACGTGGCTTCAATAACACTATTCCCTCACGAGGACCGACCAGAAACTCAAACGGGTTGGATTTTCATCCGACCAGACGATGTGGATCTGGAGGTGGAGACAGGTTAATGGCTGCTCCTCACTCTGTGTGTACGACACCATGTGAGACACCAGGAGGTGTAACTCCTGATCCAAGAGATTCTCGTACGAGTGAAAAATCGTATCAAAAAGGGGCAAAAATCGGAAAGCAGATCCCAGCCGGACAAACCCACCTTCCCCTTCTCCTCGTTCATCATGTGCAGCTCCTGCTCGCTCAGCCAGGCCTCCACCTCGGCCGTGTCGAAGTAGTACTGCTGGGCTTGGTACATGGCGTCCAGCACCAGCTGCCTCCTCTCGGTCTCCGTCCAGAGGAGGGCCCACAGATGGGCCAGCTGGTCGTGGCCGGCCCGGATGCAGTCGGCCTCGGGGCTGCGGATGGAGGCGATGATCCCGGCCCGCTCCAGCACGTCGTCGATGCGGCCCCGGTGGCCCTGCAGCTCCCTCTGGAGCGTCTGCAGGAGAGCAACACAAACCAGGTCACCAGTCGGCTGTGAAGCCACAGAAACTCATCGGATCCCAAACCCGGCCGTTCTGAGTGTGTCAGGAAAAGGCTCTGCTCTTTTGGTTTTGTCACCTGGTTCTTCTTCATGAGCTGCTGGACGGCCTGCAGCGAGGAGCCGTGCTCCTGAGAGGTGGCCAGCGGGAGGCGCTCCTGGACCCACAACTGCAACACAGCAGCACAACACACATTTAACTGGGTCCACAGGTTGGCTATCCATACGAACAAATGCAAAACGATGAGTTATTTTTTATAATAACTTCATTTATCAGCCTTTTTTTTGTTAGACAAACAGAGGGAAGGGAACAGCTAAAGCTAGGTCCAGAATAAAGAGCAAAA